AGCTAAACTGATCTTTTTTTAAGCATTCGAACAATTAGATCTATAAGGAAAAAAAATTACGTATGCTCGTAATCCAGAGTTTTAGCGTTGTTAAAAAAATTCACTTTTTCTCCAACTATGCTAAAATATGGTAGAAAACGCCTGAAAACAGGATCATTTTTTCGAGTTTCATTTCGAACTAATTGTTTCCATACTAAATAGATATGATATTCGGAATCAAATCAAAAAAAAATACGTCGAATAAACTATAATTTGCCAGAAAAGTCTCCATCGAAATTTCTCTTGTGGTCTACCTCAGCTATGTTTTCCCTCAGTATTGTCCTGAAGGGCGGGGGGGGGGGGGGCAGGTGTGAGTTTAGCGGAACATATTTTCTGGAAAATTATAGTTTATTCGGGAAAGTAGTCAAACGTCGACGATAAAATGTCGAAAAAAAAATGTCGAAAAAAAAATGTCGAAAATCAAATGTCGACCGAAAAAAAATGTCGACACACTAGATATCGACAATGTAAAACGTCGACATCATGAAACACAAACAAAAGAAGCTGATGATGAAAAAATAAAATTGGAGCATGAATAAATTAAATTTATGTTTTATTAGGTAAAATTCGAATACATATCAATGAAAAATAAAATAAAAATGCATATGAGTGAGAACGAAGAGCTAGAGTCATAGATTCAAGGCATGTACCAACACATTCGTATAATTTTCATTTTGTGGCGATAAGCTTTGATAATTCGTTGTGATATTCATTCAATTTAATCGTTTGTTCGTCGTATCTCCTTCGAAGCTCTTTAAGTTTATCCTGCATGGTGCATGTTTTCTTTGACGCCTTTTTTAACTTGCCAGAATTGCCATGAATTAACTGTTGTTTAAAATGAACTTCTTCTTGCTTCAATACATTCACAAATGACCAAAAATTAGGATGGTTTTTTTCGATTCTCTTGTTGAATCGACTATGCCAAGCTACAATGAGAAAAACAAGGTTAGAACAATACAAAAAAACAATTATGCCTTACATTCAACATTATTGTTAGTTTTTACTTTTAAATTCGATACATTCCAAAGACGAAACGGTACCTTCTTCATCCACCAATCCTCGAAATATTCAAAAAATGGTTGCAATTCCATCGGAGCTTCTTCACTAAGTGTTTCAAAAGCTCGTTGAACGTCTTCAACTGGGAGTAGTGGTAAAGCCATCAAGTGTCTACACAACGAGCGCATTTCTTCATCGTTGTTGTAAAATGTGCTTAATCCCAGTGCTTGAATACGACGACTCAAGCACTGGGTGTAGTGGAAGAAACATCCCGAATGTTGCGCGTTCGGAAACTAAAAGAAGTAAAGATGTAATAAAACTAGATCGATATGAAAGTTATTGCTTACATATGAAGCAATTGTCCTGATAAGAGCTTGCTCGAAATCGGACATGATTTTGTCCGGATTAAATTTGCAATTAAGACGTTGAGCTGCTGCATCCAATACCTCGAAGACATGCTTGTATATTGAAGCAGTTCGACCAGGCAACAAACAGATAACACATGGAAAATCTTTAAGGAAAAGTAGTTCACTGTTAAATAGGTATTTAGAAAATTTGGAATTGACTTTCTGTATCCATACTTGATGCAATGCAACGAAAACACATGATTGAAGTGTGGTACACACGCCGAAAATGTTCCATCGATCATAATGGTTTTTGCTGAAAAAAGCATACGCAATTGCTCATCTGTTGCAAACAACATCACCCGCTTCTTTCGAACAACTGTGTCACTGAATAAAAAATGTGCACCACTGATTGTCGTTGAATAGGCATCGGGAAGATCGAAACAAGATGATGTTGGTAATGGTGGTGTTGTTTGTCGTCGTAAACGATTAAGTGATGCTTCTAAAGTTTAAAAAAATGAACAAACAGGACATGAAAAACGAAAATACTAACTTGCTTCGTCAGCCAAAGGAATTAAACTAAGAGCACCATCACTCAGATTAAGAGAAGCCATTTCCTTGTCGTAAATCTTTCCAATCGCCGTTGTTTCTTTCACAACTCGTTCTTTCACCTTCTCTTTAAACATTGCAACTTCGACTTGTTCAGGCACTGGTAAATGAAAATTATGATCACCGGATTTTCCAACATATTGATTGTTGTGATTTGTATGAATATAAGCTGAACAAGTTCGATCTTTGCATCGCCAGTACTTCAAATTTGGTCGCGTACGGTTTAATTGAAAAATGAATCCATCACATATTAAGATCGGTTTACGTTTGTTGCTGATCGAAAAGCTAAGACTAGGAACAGTTGACATATGAAGAAAAATATGCTACTAGAACGAAATGAAAAAGATAGAATGTGTTGAATACACTACCATGATGTTAAGTGCACAAATGACGAATGTTTATATATGAGAGAAGGGCGAGAATTACCTCGAACGAAAAAGAAACAAGGTAAATCATCTAGAATGTTCTCGTCTGTACTGTACAAAGAGATTACTAAAGAACGAGAAGAAAAGAATATTTCGTTAAGGTCATTTTTCTAAGGACATTTCACTATAAATTCGAAAAAATTCGTATTTAGTTATGTCCAGGCCAACACAAATAAAGAAAATGCACAAACAGAAAAAAAATATAAGACAGCATATGCTACGCGATTTTCCTATATCATGATAGAATTTTCGACATTTTTTTACACGTCGGCATTTTGCCTGTCGACATTTTATCTATCGACATTTTTTTGTCGACGTTTTGTTGTCGACATTTTTACTTGTTGATATTTTGTTTTCGACATTTGTCTACCTCACCGTTTATTCGACGTGTTATTTTTGAGCTGATTCCGAATATCATATCTATTTAGTATGGAAACAATTAGTTCGAAATGAAACTCGAAAAAAATGATCCTGTTTTCGGGCGTTTTCTACCATGTTTTAGCATAGTTGGAGAAAAAGTGAATTTTTTAACAACGCTAAAACTCTGGATTACGAGCATACGTAATTTTTTTTCCTTATTGATCTAATGGTTCGAATGCTTAAAAAAAGATCAGTTTAGCTCTTACGGAAAAAAAGAAGATAGGTTTACAAAGTAAGGCTCTCGATAATGTACAAGGTAGGTCTTGGTAAGCCAATCAAAAGTCACAAGATCAATGAAATTTTATCAAATTCATCTGAATAGCACAGTTTTATATGCTCGATTTAGATAATATACTTTTGTTGAAAAAAGACTAATCAAACATACATCAACCTTCAGATTAATGGTAAAAATCCAGCTTTTTTGGATTTTCTGAAATTTTTTGCATTTTGCAATTTTTTCGGCTCAGATGAGATCTGGAAAATTTGAAAGATATATATTCTGAATCAGTGTGAAGAGCTCTATCAACTAATGCATAATTCATTGAGTTTTGTTTTCTGCTCGA